TGACATCCGCTCCCCCCACGCTCAGACCAGCGTGTGCCGCGTGGCCAAGCGCCCCGACTTCGCCGCCACGGGCCAGTGGGAAGTGGTGACGGAGAGCGAGGGGAAGCAGGAGGCGGCCGTCTTCGACGCCGTGCTGGTGTGCACTGGGCACCACACCGAGGCACACCTCCCCCTGAGCACCTTCCCAGGTACCGCCCCGCACCCCCGTGCACGGAGACACCTCGGAAAGCTCGGCCATGGGAACCCCTCTTTTCCCTGCCTCTCTTCCTCCCAGCCTCAGTGTTTCTCTGCCTTGCTTCAACTCCAGGAGTGCTCCCACACTCCCCAGGAGGGATCTGGCGGGGTCAGGGAGCATCCCCACTTCAGTTTTTGGGGAGCTGACTCCGCAGCCCAGCACCAGGAAGCCAAGCATCCCTCCTCCTCGCTCACAGGCATCGAAAAGTTCAAGGGCCGCTACCTCCACAGCCGAGACTACAAGGATGCCCGGGATTTCACAGACAAGACGGTTGTTGTCATCGGGATTGGGAACTCGGGGTCGGACCTGGCCGTGGAGATCAGCCAAACGGCCAAGCAGGTGAGCAGTGGGAGTGGGGTCCTAGTGGGCAGGGCAGCCCCCCTGGGGGACATTACTGGCTCCATGAGTACACCAGGACCAAGACACTGCCACTCCATGCCGGCACCGCTGCATTCGGCACTGCTGGCACCCGGCAATCCCTGTTTCCAGGCAGCAGTGGCAGCCAAGACTCCATCCCATACAGATACCCCAATTTCCAGCCCTGAGCCCAGGGCTGGGGCTGCCCTTTGTGGCTCTTCCCTACCTCTCCCTGCCAGGTGCCCACCCCTGGCTCCCTCTGCTCTCCGGGTCTTTGCCCGGCACCCAGGCAGCACAAAGAGGAGTGATCCCAGGGCAAGGATGTGCCCACCCCCGGCGGCAGCCCCCGAGGACCCCCACAGCCCTCAGTGGACGATGCCTCCTTCCCCACCCAGGTCTTCCTCAGCACGCGCCGGGGCGCATGGATCCTCAACCGCGTTGGAGAGCAGGGCTACCCCATCGACATCGTATTCAACACCCGCCTGAAGATGTTCCTGAAGAAGCTGCTGAGCCCCTCCATGCTGTGCGACCTCGCGGAGAAGCAGCTCAACGCCAGGTTTGACCACTCGCACTACGGCCTGAAGCCAAAGCACAGGTGCCAGCAAAAGCTCCCCCTGCCCAGGAGGGACACCCCCCGGATCTCCCTGTGTCCCGTCTCACTTGGGCGTTTCCATGCTCCCTATGCCCAGGCTGGGAATGAGCATCCCTAGGGATGACTGTTTCCGGAGCAGGACACGGAGCAGAGACAACCCACCCCAGCACCCTGATGGTTCCTTGTGCCTTCCAGGATCTTTGAACAGCACCCAACCGTCAACGACGACCTGCCCAACCGCATCATTTCGGGAAGGGTGCGGGTGAAGTCGAACGTCCAGGAGTTCACGGAGACATCTGCCATCTTTGAGGATGGCACCAGGGAAGATATCGACGCGGTGGTCTTCGCCACGGGGTACAGCTTCTCCTTCCCCTTCCTCGAGGGCTGCGTCAAGGTGGTGGAGAACCAGATCCCACTCTACAAATTCATGTTCCCCGTCGACCTGGAGAAGCCGACGCTGGCTTTCATCGGCCTCATCCAGCCCCTGGGCGCCATCATGCCCATCTCTGAGCTCCAGTGTCGCTGGGCCACCCGCGTCTTCAAGGGTAAGTGAGGCAGGTTGGGGGGATGCGACCAGGCAACCCTCCTCCCTCCACCCTTCTCCTCTTGCTTATTCGTGGGGATAACCACCAGCATTTTGCTGTCCGCGGTCAAGGCCAGGGCCGCCTTGCAGCCATCATGCTGAGTTGGGCTTTTGCCTGAGCACTGCAGGGACATCCATACCCTGAGCCCCACGGGATGCTCCTTCCCATCCCGAGGAGCTCAGGTGCCAGAGCGCCCACCACGGTGGTGCTGGCAGGGGCACAGCACCCCGTCAAGGGAG